CTTGCCTGGTCCGTGAGTTTTGGTGGGTGGCCCTCTCTTGGCAGGTTTGTTGTGGTGCCATATTCTTTCCATTTTTTAATAATGGATTTAATGGTGCTCCGTGGGATGTTCAAAGTTTCAGATATTGTTTTATAACTCAACCCTGATCTGTACTTCTCCACAGCTTTGTCCCTGACCTGTTTGGAGAGCTCCTTGGTCTTCATGGTGCCGCTTGCTTGGTGGTGCCCCTTGCTTAGTGGTGTTGCTGACTCTGGTGCCTTTCAGAACAGGTGTATATATACTGAGATCATGTGACAGATCATGTGACACTTAGATTGCACACAGGTGGACTTTATTTAACTAATTATGTGACTTCTGAAGGTAATTGGTTGCACCATATCTTATTTAGGGGCTTCATAGCAAAGGGGGTGAATACATATGCACGCAACACTTTTCCGTTATTTATTTTTTAGCATTTTTTGAAACAAGTTTTATTTATTTTTTCACTTCACCAATTTGGACTATTTTGTATATGTCCATTACATGAAATCCAAATAAAAATCCATTTAAATTACAGGTTGTAATGCTACAAAATAGGAAAAACGCCAAGGGGGATTGTCACGCCCTGGCTCTGGGGACTCTGGGGTGTGGATTTTCTATGTTTAGTTTTCTATGTTTTTTGTTCTAGATCGTTTAGTTCTATGTTGGCCAGGGTGGTTCCCAATCAGAGGCAGCTGTAGCTCGTTGTCTCTAATTGGGGTCCATACTTAGGCAGCCAGTTGGCACCAGTTAGTTTGTGGGATCTTGTTCCGTAAAGGTTTGTGTTGTTGTAACCTCAGGACTTCACGTATCGTTCTTTTTGTTGTTTTGTTCGTGTGTTGTGTACTAAATAAAATGTACGCTTATCACGCTGCGCCTTGGTTCCACGAGTCATCAGTCATCGATCGTGACAGAAGATCCCACCTAAAGAGGACCAAGCAGCGTGTCCAGGAACAGACAGCCTGGACTTGGGAGGAGATCCTGGACGGGAAGGGATCCTGGACTTGGGAAGAGATTCAGGCCGGAATGGATCGCCGTCCTTGGGAGGAGACTGTGGAGGCGCGCTACAGAGAGGAGCAGCGGCAACGCAGAGGGTACCGGCCGAGGAGGAAGCCAGAGAGACAGCCCCAATATTTTTTTTGGGGGGGGCTAAAAGGGTGGTTGGCGGAGCCTAGAGTTAGAGCAGAGCCAACTCCCCGTACTCAGGCTATGAAGCGTGAGACTGGGCAGGCTCCGTGTTATGCGGAGCCACGTACTGTGCCGCGAGTGTTCCGGCACAGTCCTGTACGTCCGGTGCTAGCACCACGCACGTGTCGGGCTAAGATGGGCATGCAGCCAGGACGGGGTGTGCCGGCTCAACGCTCGTGGCCTCCAGTACGCCTCCTCGGTCCCGTATATCCTGCGCCAGTGCCACGAGCTGTAGCGCCAGTACGAGTGCACAGCCCTGTACGTCCTGTGCTGATGCCTCACACATATTGTGTGGAAATAGGCATTCAGCCAGGACGGGTTGTGTCAGCTCTCCGCTCCAGACCTCCAGTCCGCCTCCACAGTCCGGCCCGGCCCGTTCCGGCTCCCCGCACAAAGCCAGTGGTGCGTGTTCCCAGTCCAGCCCGGCCCGTTCCGGCTCCCCGCACCAACGCAGTGGTGCGTGTTCCCATTCCAGCCCGGCCCGTTCCTGCTCCCCGCACCAAGCCAGTGGTGCGTGTTCCCAGTCCAGCCCGGCCTGTTCCTGCTCCCCGCACCAAGCCAGTGGTGCGTGTTCCCAGTCCAGCCCGGCCTGTTCCTGCTCCCCGCACCAAGCCAGTGGTGCGTGTTCCCAGTCCCACCCGGCCTGTTCCTGTCCCTCGCACCAAGCCAGTGGTGCGTGTCGCCAGCCCGGTCCGGCCTGTTCCTGTCCCTCGCACCAAGCCAGTGGTGTGGGTCGCCAGCCCGGTCCGGCCTGTTCCTGTCCCTCGCACCAAGCCAGTGGTGCGCGTCGCCAGCCCGGTCCGGCCTGTTCCTGCCCCTCGCACCAAGCCAGTGGTGCGCGTCGCCAGCCCGGTCTGGCCTGTTCCTGTCCCTCGCACCAAGCCAGTGGTGCGCGTCGCCAGCCCGGTCCGGCCTGTTCCTGTCCCTCGCACCAAGCCAGTGGTGCGCGTCGCCAGCCCGGTCCGGCCTGTTCCTGTCCCTCGCACCAAGCCAGTGGTGCGCGTCGTCAGCCCGGTCCGGCCCGTTCCTGCTCCCCGCACCAAGCCAGTGGTGCGTGTGTTCAGTCCGGCACGGCCCGTGCCTGTTCCACCAGTGCCTGGTCCGGCACCGGTCAGCTGCTCCACTCCGGAGTCAGAGCAATCCGCTCCACCGGGTTCCGGTCCAACTCCAGTCAGCGGATCCACTCCGGAGCCAGAGTAATCCGCTCCACCGGTGTCCAGTCCAGCTCCGGCCAGCGGCTCCAGTCCGGAGCCGGTAAGGTCTGGTCCACCGTCGTCGGGTCCAGCTCCAGTCAGCGGGACCAGACCAGGGGCGCAACGGGGAGGTGGAGAAAAGGTGGTGGTCACGCCCGGAGCCGGATCCGCCTCCGAGGCGGAATGCCCACCCGGCCTCTACCCTCTTTTGTTTGTGTGGCGCGGTCGCAGTCCGCGCCTTTGGGGTGGGGTACTGTCATGCCCTGGCTCTGGGGACTCTTAAATGTTGAGCCAGGGTGTGGATTTTCTATGTTTAGTTTTTTTTTGTTCTAGATCGTTTAGTTCTATGTTGGCCAGGGTGGTTCCCAATCAGAGGCAGCTGTAGCTCGTTGTCTCTAATTGGGGTCCATACTTAGGCAGCCAGTTGGCACCAGTTAGTTTGTGGGATCTTGTTCCGTAAAGGTTTGTGTTGTTGTAACCTCAGGACTTCACGTATCGTTCTTTTTGTTGTTTTGTTCGTGTGTTGTGTACTAAATAAAATGTACGCTTATCACGCTGCGCCTTGGTTCCACGAGTCATCAGTCAACGATCGTGACAGGGATGAATACTTTTGCAAGGCACTGTACAGTTCATATAAGGAAATCTGTCAATTGAAATAAATGCATTACGCCCTAACCTATGGATTTCACATGACTGGGAATACAGATAACTTTGACAAAAAGGTAGGGGCGTGGATCAGAAAACCAGTTAGTATCTAGTGTGACCACCATTTGCCTCATGCAGCGCAACACATTTCCCTCACATAGTGTTGAGTTGATTGTGGTCTGTGGAATGTTGTCCCACTCCTCTTCAATGGCTCTGCGAAATTGCTGGATATTGGCAGGAACTGGAACACACTGTCGTACATGTCGATCCAGAGCATCCCAAACATGCTCAATGGGTGACATGTCTGGTGAGTATGCAGGCCATGGAACAACTTGGACATTTTCAGTTTCCAGGAATAGTGTACAGATCCTTGCGACATGCATTATTATGCTGAAACATGAGGTGATGGTGGCGGATGAATGGAACGACAATGGATCTCAGGATCTTGTCATGGTATCTCTGTGCATTCAAATTGCCATTGATAAAATGCAATTGTGTTCATTGTCCGTAGCTTATGCCTGCCTATACCATAACCCCACCGCCACCATGGGGCACTCTGTTCACAACATTGACATCAGCAAACCGCTCGCCCACACGATGCCATACACGCTGTCTGCCATCTGCCCGTTACAGTTGAAACCGGGATTCATTCGTGAAGAGCACACTTCTCCAGCATGCCAGTGGCCATCGAAGTTGAGCATTTGCTCACTGAAGTCGGTTCTGACGCCGAACTGCAGTCAGGTCAACACCCTGGTGAGGACGAAGAGCACGCAGATGAGCTTCTCTGAGACAGTTTCTGACTGTTTGTGCAGATATTCTTTGGTTGTGCAAACCCACAGTTTCGTCAGTTGTCCGGGTGGTTGGTCTTAGACGATCCCGCAGGTGATGAAGCCGGATGTGGAGGTCCTGGGCTGGCATGGTTACACGTGGTCTGCAGTTGTGAGGCCGGTTGGACATACTGCCAAATTCTCCAAAACGACATTGGAAGCGGCTTATGGTAGATAAATTAACATTAAATGATCTAGCAACAGCTCTGGTGGACATTCCTGCAGTCAGCATGCCAATTGCACGCTCCCTCAAAACTTGAGACATCTGTGGCATTGTGTTGTGTGACAAAACTGCACATTTTAGAGTGGCCTTTTATTATCCCCAGCACAAGGTGAGTGGATTATCTTGGCAAAGGATAAATACTCACTAACAGGAATGTAAACAAATTTGTGCACAACATTTGAGAGAAATACACTTTTTGTGCATATGGAACGTTTCTGGGATCATTTCAGCTCATGAAACATGGGACCAATACTTTAGATGTTGCGTTTATATTTTTGTTCACTGTAATATGGGCTATTTTATGTACAGTATGTGTACTTACATTGTTAGTACACTGTAGGTAATCTCAGCACCCAGAATAACCAATGAGAGACTACACTGTTGGCTACTTATGTAGCTAACTAGAATGCATGATTTTAGCACCACTTGCAATAAAGTGGTAATCTTTATTTCTCTTTTTCTTCTTACAAACCATTCCAAAGTTAGGGAAAGAACAATTTAACTTGTTGAAGCCTGTCAGTCTGTTTTTGTTAACCCCTATTTAAAAAATATATATTTTAAAGGGTGTAACCCATACTAGTAATGGCTCATAACCTTCATGCAAAATACTTTTTGTCAGATGAGAAATTATTTGATTACATGAGAAGAATGCCCAGTCAGAACCATTTGTGCCATAAATTCAATATGGATCTATTCTCAATAGCTACAATTGCATGTCAGGACCTACAGTCCTATTTAGGACTAGCGTAGCATGGACCTCTATACAGTATGCTGCAAAGCACAGTGTGTGTGTGTGTGCGTGTGTGTGTGTGTGTGTGTGCATGCATGCGTGTGTGTGTGTGATTGTGTGGGAGTTTATGTGTGTGTGTTTGTGTGTGTGTGTTTGTGTGTGCATGTGTATGTGTGAACTAAAGTCTGATGTAAATATGCCTGTCCCTACAGCAGTCTAGGGAGTGGTCATGGCAGGTGCTGAGATCACAGTGTCCTCAAAGAATATAGTGATGGTGAAGGAAGAGGAGGAGGAAGGGGAGCCCTGTGAGAGCCATAAGACTCAGGTCATCCTCCACCAGCAGCCCATCATACAGGGGTAAGACTTTGAACCACAGCTACAATGCAAAGAGGGGGCACTGGACACAACAGGGTGGAGGGTTTGAGTTACCATTTGGACAAAATGCAAAAGTCAAAAAATTCAATTAGTAACTAATTAACTTTACGCAGTAACGATAATGTAATTACACTAAGAAATTACAAATGTAACAAAAAACGTTTTTTTTTAAATGTACAAAAGTGTGCTTTTCTAGACATCCAAGTTGTCAGTTATAAGATCAAGAGTAAGATAAAACTGTTGTTGAAGTGTAGAATTCTAACAGCAGGTTCTGTTATATACTGTACATTGTAACAGCTGCCTCAGTGGGAGTGGTGAATATTGTGTGAAATAGTGGACTTTGTCGCCTCCTACAGGGCAAATGAGGACAACGCTAACACTGGTTCCACTGTCCTAGCCATAGAGACACACAATGGTAAGATTCCACAAGACGCTTTGTTTCTATTGCTTATTTATATGACCAGTATTTTAATTCATTACTACATTCAACGTAGAGATTAGATTTGTATTGTATACATCATCTAGTCATTTTTAAAAACTGGATAATCATTTGTATTCTTTTGTTTTGTTGTGTTTTTGATGTATGGATGCTTGCTTGTGATATTGTGTGTGTTATGTACTGTGTGTTTATATTGTATTTTACCATTATGAATGTTAGAAGACAATCTTGTGGAGGGTGAGGAGGTTGAGTATGGATACCCCATCACCTGTGGCGAAAGCAAAGCAGTCCTCCTGTTTAAGAAGTTTGTCTGTCCTGGTATCAACATCAGATGTGTCAAGGTACCAGGATGCCTTTATAGTCATCAAGTAACTTGTTCATAAGTACTGTATGTCACTAAGAAAGACGCTGGTGTGTGTATGTGTGTACGTGTGTGTGTGCTGTTTTTGTGGGGGGGGGGGGTTTGTGTGTGTGTGTGTGTGTGTGTGTGTGTGTGTTCGTGTTCGTGTTCATAGATAATTTTGCTTTCCACTGTCAATATGAAAGCATGTGAGATTTGTAATTCTTATTTAACTCTTTCTGTGCTTGTGATTCTCTGTGTTGCTTTCTCTCCTCCCTGCAGTTCAATGACCAGCTGATCAGCCCCAAGCAGTTTGTTCACATGGCAGGGAAAGCCACGCTGAAGGACTGGAAGAGGGCCATCCGACTGGGAGGGGTGATGCTCAGGTAGGCTGCGTCATACTGAGTGGAGGGCAGGGTTTACATTTACATTTTGGTCATTTAGCAGACACTCTTATCCAGAGATACTTACAGTCAGTGCATTCACCTAAAGTAGGTAAGACAACCACATATCACAAGTAAAAACTTTATTCAATAAAGCAGCTATCAGCAGAATCAGTGCTAGTACAAAAAAGACGTACAGGTTGGGGTCAATATGTGTCTGGGATCTTCTTGTTTTGCCTGCATTGGGGCACCTGGAGTTTTTTTGCCAATACATTCCACTAGCAGTTAGTAAGCAGCGTTCTTGTGGTGGTAGGATCACATATCACGCTGTCAAATTGCTGAGTGATGCATTTCTCACCCCATCTTCGTGTTTGCACTTGTTCTCTGTCCAACTGTGGTTTAGTTGCCTTCATCCCTACATAACAGATCAGAAGCTTTTGTTACAAGCAAAACGTTGAAAAAACATTGAATACACATATTACACAACCAGAAGTGTTATCTATATTCTGACTGGATTAGATATAGTGATAACAATGTTTATTATTATATAACTAATCATAAAATAAATATACTGAACCATTCTACAACTCCTCTCTTATGTCCTCTATGCAGGAAAATGATGGACTCAGGTCAGATTGACTTCTACCAGCATGAAACAGTGTGCACCAACACCTGCCGCAGCACCAAGTTTGACGTGTTGATCAACAGCACCCGCTTCCTTCCGGGCAGCGCCATGCAGCTCCCCCCTTCCCCTCTGCCCAGTGAGCCTATCAGCCAATCAGCCAAGGGCTGACTACACACTGTCCAGTGTGCCTATCAGCCGAGGGCTTACCTAACTACAGTACACTTTTACTATGGCCATTTATCTCTCATATCCCGTGGCTGCTGCCATTTATTAAACTGCTGTTTTTATCCCTGCACAAACTACACTTCCCCTTCATAAACTGTACCACTCGTATTTTGAAATGGACTACATCAAAATGTCAATAAATAATTGCCCTCAGCATTCTTTGGTGTGGCACCTATTTTATCACTGCAGAGGGCAGTGATTGGAATCTAGAAGTAGGAAAACAATTAGATTTAGGGGCCTCAATGGTCTCCCCAGCAGCCCATAGAACTTGGATAGAAAACCCTGTGCTATGAAGGCACTTGCAGAGTCACACAGTTGTTACCACTGCTTACAACCAAATGTCTACAACAGAACTGTATCAGAATTTGAGCTAGTGATATGAGTGATGACATGAGATGTTGTTGGCATGATTTGATGTGTGTTGGTGGCTCTCTGTGTATAGTAGATGGAGGCCATGCTGCAGTGTCAGATGAGAGGCTAGAGGAGAAGGACTACATTACAGTGGAATGGAGCCCTGGGCCAGCCCCTCCCATCACCAGCAAAGCCAATGGACATGTCAAGAGGAAAAGGGGTGATATCATCCCTGGTCAGCATAGCAGCTACAGGGAGTTATACATTTATAGTTATCTTAATGTAAACACACGCAAACAGGCATGCGCATACGCACACACATTCACACACACATACTGTATAAACACACACACTCAATCACGCATGGTGGCACGCACTCACACACGCACATAAACACACACACACACACACACACACACACACACACACACACACACACACATACACGTGTTTCTTAGGGACATACAGTACAATGAACGAGTCACTTTGATGACTAAAAAGGCATCCTGGTCACATCTGACGTCTTGACATACACACACATTCCCCCTACACCATTCCTCTTTCCTAATCATACCACGCCTCTTGCCTTTCTCTAGATGGCAGTCTAAGCTTTTGGAGAGGCATAGCAGACGTTGGCCTGATGGGGGAGGTGTTATCCAGTTTCCGCACAGAACTGGTGGCCATGTTGAGAGGAGTGGAGGTCCGCAGTGAGAAGGCCATTCTGCAAGAGGCCGGTGAGCTTACACACTGGGAGACAGCTTCCCACAAATACTTACATAATACTTACATACAGTGGGGGAAAAAAGTTTTTAGTCAGCCACCAATTGTGCAAGTTCTCCCACTTAAAAAGATGAGAGAGGCCTGTAATTTTCATCATAGGTACATGTCAACTATGACAGACAAATTGAGATTTTCTTTCTCCAGAAAATCACATTGTAGGATTTTTTATGAATTTATTTGCAAATTATGGTGGAAAATAAGTATTTGGTCACCTACAAACAAGCATGATTTCTGGCTCTCACAGACCTGTAACTTCTTCTTTAAGAGGCTCCTCTGTCCTCCACTCGTTACCTGTATTAATGGCACCTGTTTGAACTTGTTATCAGTATAAAAGACACCTGTCCACAACCTCAAACAGTCACACTCCAAACTCCACTATGGCCAAGACCAAAGAGCTGTCAAAGGACAGCTTGTGTGATTCCAAGATGGCGAAGTAGTGCAGTCCTGTTTCTGTCGTGTGTCTGTAAATAGCCTGTAAATACCTAGTTTTTTTGTATTTTTCGTACCTATTTCCCTATCAGACTTTTCATCCTTCTACAAAATATACTTTCCTGCAACCCGCCTCACTCAATGTGGAACGGATTCTATTATTGACTTACCTTTTATCTAGAATCTCCAGTGAAACTAGCTAGCCAGCTAGCCAGCTAACTAGCTACTTGCTATTAGCCATAGCTAGCGGTGTTTCACCCAGAACATTGGATTTTTTTTCTGCGGGATTAATTTTAATCACTGGACATTGATCACCGGATATTCGGCCAGTCTGCACAGCGCGTTATCGACCCAGAACATATCAGTTTTTCCGCCGGAATCACTGAATCACTGGACCTTTAACTCCGGATTCATCGCTACCAGCTAGCTACAACAAAACGGACGCTGTGGTCTGGCTAATCATCCTGAGCTAGGCCCATCTCCCGGCTATCTACCTCTCTGTCAACCGGACGGGACCACCTAGTGTTGACACGGAGCCCCGCCGATCCTACACGACTGGTCTGCCGACGAAATCGTCTGATGTGGTTACGACGTTAACCACGAAGATTCCATCCATCTGCTAGCCCTGGCCCGCTAGCCGTGGCCTCTTACTCACTAGTACTTCACCACCGGACCTTATGATAACTCAGCTATACAGCTGATATCTGCTGGACTGTTCCTTTTTACGGTACTACATCCTGTTTATGTTTAGCCTCAGCCCAAACATGGTTAGTTTATTGTTGTTTCGGTTATTTCTAATTGTACTATATCACTGTAGACCCCCCAGCCTAGCTAAACCTGCCTTAGATAGCTCCTTTGCACCTCCCCCAATACACGCGGAGACCGACTCAATTGATGCCTCCAGCGATGCTATCTCTTTCATCGTTACCCAACGCTTAGGTTTACCTCCACTTTACTCATATCCTTCCATATCCTTGTCTGTACATAATGCCCTGAATCTTTTCTATAACACCCGGAAATCTGCCCCCTTTATTCTATGTACCCAACGCACTAGAAGACCAGTTCTTAAAGCCTTTAGCCGTATCCTTATTCTAGTCCTCCTCTGTTCCTCTGGTGATGTAGAGGCTAACCCAGGCCCTGCAGCCCTCAGTATCACTCCTACTCCCCAGGCGCTATCATTTGATGACTTCTGTAATCGCAAAAGTCTTGGTTTCTTGCACATAAATATCAGAAGTCTACTTCCTAAGTTTGAGTTATTCACTGCGTTAGCACACTCTGCCAACCCTGATGTTCTAGCAGTGTCTGAATCCTGGCTCAGGAAGGCCACCAAAAATTCTGAAATTTCCATCCCCAACTATAACATTTTCCGTCTAGATAGAACTGCCAAAGGGGGTGGAGTTGCAATCTACTGTAGAGATAGCCTGCAGAGCTCTATCATACTATCCAGGTCAGTGCCCAAACAGTTTGAGCTTCTACTTCTAAAAATCCACCTTTCCAGAAATAAGTCTCTCACTGTTGCCGCTTGCTACAGACCCCCCTCAGCCCCCAGCTGTGCCCTGGACACCATATGTGAATTGATTGCCCCCCATTTATCCTCAGAGTTTGTACTGATTGGTGACCTAAATTGGGATATGCTTAATACCCCAGCCATCCTACAATCCAAGCTAGATGCCCTCAACCTCACGCAAATTATCAACGAACCTACCAGGTACAACCCTAAATCCGTAAACATGGGTACCCTCATAGATATCATCCTGACTAACATACCCTCTAAATACACCTCAGCTGTCTTCAACCAGGATCTCAGCGATCACTGCCTTATTGCCTGCGTCCGTAACGGGTCCGCGGTCAAACGACCACCCCTCATCACTGTCAAACGCTCCCTAAAACACTTTAGCGAGGAGGCCTTCCTAATTGACCTGGCCCAGGTATCCTGGATGGATATAGATCTCATTCCGTCAGTAGAGGATGCCTGGTTGTTCCTTAAAAGTAATTTCCTCTCAATCTTAAATAAACATGCCCCATTCAAAAAATACAGAACTAAGAACCGATATAGCCCCTGGTTCTCCTCAGACTTGACTGCCCTTGACCAGCACAAAAACATCCTGTGGCGTACAGCATTAGCATCAAATAGCCCCCGCGATATGCAACTTTTCAGGGAAGTTAGGAACCAATATACACAAGCAGTTAGGAAAGCAAAGGCTAACTTTTTCAAACAGAAATTTGCATCCTGTAGCACTAACTCCAAAAAGTTTTGGGACACTGTAAAGTCCATGGAGAATAAGAGCACTTTCTCCCAGCTGCCCACTGCACTGAGGCTAGGAAACACTATCACCACCGATAAATCTACAATAATCGAGAATTTCAACAAGCATTTTGCTACAGCTGGCCATGCTTTCCATCTGGCTACCACTAACCCGGCCACCAACTCTGCACCCTCTGCTGCAACTTGCCCATGCCCCCCCCGCTTCTCCTTCACACAAATTCAGACAGCTGATGTTTTGAAAGCGCTGCAAAATCTGGACCCCTACAAATCAGCTGGGCTAGACAATCTGGACCCTTTCTTTCTAAAACTAGCCGCCGAAATTGTCGCTACCCCTATTACTAGTCTGTTCAACCTCTCTTTCATAACGTCTGAGATCCCCAGAGATTGGAAAGCTGCCGCGGTCATCCCCCTCTTCAAAGGGGGTGACACTCTAGATCCAAACTGCTACAGACCTATATCCATCCTGCCCTGCCTTTCGAAAGTATTCGAAAGCCAAGTTAACAAACAGATCATCGACCATTTCGAATACCACCGTACCTTCTCCGCTATGCAATCCGGTTTCCGAGCTGGTCACGGGTGCACTTCAGCCACGCTCAAGGTCCTAAACGATATTATAACCGCGATTGATAATAGACAGTACTGTGCAGCCGTCTTCATCGACCTGGCCAAGGCTTTCGACTCTGTCAACCACCGCATTCTTATTGGCAGACTAAATAGCCTTGGTTTCTCAAATGACTGCCTCGCCTGGTTCACCAACTACTTCTCAGATAGAGTTCAGTGTGTCAAATCGGAGGGCCTGTTGTCTGGACCTATGGCAGTCTCTATGGGGGTGCCACAGGGTTCAATTCTTGGGCCGACACTTTTCTCCGTGTATATCAATGATGTCGCTCTTGCTGCTGGTGACTCTCAGATCCACCTCTACGCAGACGACACCATTTTGTATACATCTGGCCCTTCATTGGACACTGTGTTAACAAACCTCCAAACGAGCTTCAATGCCATACAACAATCCTTCAGTAGCCTCCAACTGCTCTTAAACACTAGTAAAACTAAATGCATGCTTTTCAATCGAACGCTGCTGGCACCCGCCCACCCGACTAGAATCACCACTCTCGACGGGTCTGACCTAGAGTATGTGGACAACTACAAATACCTAGGTGTCTGGTTAGACTGTAAACTCAACTTCCAGACTCACATAAAGAATCTCCAATCCAAAGTTAAATCTAGAATCGGCTTCCTATTTCGCAATAAAGCCTCCTTCACTCATGCTGCCAAACATGCCCTCGTAAAACTGACTATCCTACCGATCCTTGACTTCGGCGATGTAATTTACAAAATAGCCTCCAACACTCTACTCAGCAAATTGGATGTAGTCTATCACAGTGCCATCCGTTTTGTCTCCAAAGCCCCATACACTACCCACCACTGTGACCTGTACGCTCTTGTTGGCTGGTCCTCACTACATGTTCGTCGTCAAACCCACTGGCTCCAGGCCATCTATAAATCACTGCTAGGCAAATCCCCGCCTTATCTTAGCTCATTGGTCACCATAGCAGCACCCACCCGTAGTCTGCGCTCCAGCAGGTATATCTCACTTGTCATTCCCAAAGCCAACACCTCCTTTGGCCGCCATTCCTTCCAGTTCTCTGCTGCCAATGACTGGAACGAATTGCAAAAATCTCTGAAGCTGGAGACTCTTATCTCCCTCAATAACTTTAAGCATCAGTTGTCAGAGCACCTTACCGATCACTGCACCTGTACACAGCCCATCCGAAATTAGCCCACCCAACTACCTCATCCCTATATTGTTATTTATTTGGCTCTTTTGCACCCCAGTATCTCTATTTGCACATAATCTCTTGCACATCTAGCATTCCAGTGTTAATACTATTGTAATTATTCTGCACTATAGCCTATTTATTGCCTTACCTCCATAACTTGCTACATTTGCACACACTGTATATATATTTTCTGTTGTATTTCTGACTTTATGTTTTTTACCCCATATGTAACTCTGTGTTGTTTTTATTGCACTACTTTGCTTTATCTTGGCCAGGTCGCAGTTGTAAATGAGAACCTGTTCTCAACTGGCTTACCTTGTTAAATAAAGGTGGAAAAAAATAAAAATAAAAAAAGGACACCAGAAACAAAATTGTAGACCTGCACCAGGCTGGGAAGACTGAATCTGCAATAGGTAAGCAGCTTGGTTTGAAGAAATCAACTGTGGGAGCAATTATTAGGAAATGGAAGACATACAAGACCCCTGATAATCTCCCTCGATCTGGGGCTCCACGCAAGATCTCACCCCGTGGGGTCAAAATGATCACAAGAATGGTGAGCAAAAATCCCAGAACCACACGGGGGGACCTAGTGAATGACCTGCAGAGAGCTGGGACCAAAGTAACAAAGCCTACCATCAGTAACACACTACGCCGCCAGGGACTCAAATCCTGCAGTGCCAGACGTGTCCCCCTGCTTAAGCCAGTACATGTCCAGGCCCGTCTGAAGTTTGCTAGAGTCCATTTGGATGATCCAGAAGAGGATTGGGAGATGAAACCAAAATATAACTTTTTGGTAAAAACTCAACTCGTCGTGTTTGGAAGACAAAAAATGCTGAGTTTGCATCCAAAGAACACCATACCTACTGTGAAGCATAGGGGTGGAAACATCATGCTTTGGGGCTGTTTTTCTGCAAAGGGACCAGGACGACTGATCCGTGTAAAGGAAAGAATGAATGGGGCCATGTATCGTGAGATTTTGAGTGAAAACCTCCTTCCATCAGCAAGGGCATTGAAGATGAAATGTGGCTGGGTCTTTCAGCATGACAATGATCCCAAACACACCGCCCGGGCAACGAAGGAGTGGCTTCGTGAGAAGCATTTCAAAGTCCTGGAGTGGCCTAGCCAGTCTCCAGATCTCAACCCCATAGAAAATCTTTGGAGGGAGTTGAAAGTCTGTGTTGCCCAGCGACAGCCCCAAAACATCACTGCTCTAGAGGAGATCTGCATGGAGGAATGGGCCAAAATACCAGCAACAGTGTGTGAAAACCTTGTGAAGACTTACAGAAAACGTTTGACCTGTGTCATTGCCAACAAAGGGTATATAACAAAGTATTGAGAAACTTTTGTTATTGACCAAATACTTATTTTCCACCATAATTTGCAAATAAATTCATAAAAAATTCTACAATGTGATTTTCTGGATTTATTTTTCTAATTTTGTCTGTCATAGTTGACGTGTACCTATGATGAAAATTACAGGCCTCTCTCATCTTTTTAAGTGGGAGAACTTGCACAATTGGTGGCTGACTAAATACTTTTTCCCCCCACTGTATATGAAATATCAGAGAGTGAAAAAAATTTCTGTGGGTAACATTTACACTGAGTGTACAAAACATTAAGAACACCTTCCTAATATTGAGTTGCACCCCCCCTTTTGCCCTCAGACAGCCTCAATTTGTCGGGGCATGCACTCTACAAGGTGTCGAAAGCGTTCCACAGGGATGCTGGCCCATGTTGACTCCAATGCTTCCCACAGTTGTGTCAAGTTGGCTGGATGTCCTTTGGGTGGTGGACCATTCTTGATACACACGGGAAACTGTTGAGCGCCTGTACTCAGTGTATTTAGCAGGTTTATATAAAGGGAGGTGGATTGGCAAGAGTTTCGTAGATTTTTTTTTGGGGGGGGATTGGTTAATTTGTTTGACTGATTTATTTTAATTGCCTGTCTATTTGTTGTAACTGTAATGTGTTTTGTTGTGTTAGATGCTGTTGTACTGAACTCCCTTTCTGAGATGTTTGGGCTGCTGGACTCAGTTAGGAGGGTTCTGGACCTGAGACGCAGTAAGACTGATGACAACCAGCAGCAGGTCCACAATGCTCTTAATGGTGAGAGAATGTAAGCTTGGATGTGAGCTTGGAATGGGCAAACATACAGTACACTCTTAGAAAAAAGGGTTCCAAAAGGGTTCTTTGGCTGTCCCCATATGATAACCCTTTTTGGATCCAGGTAGAACACTTTTTGGTTCCAGGTAGAACTCTTTTGGGTTCCATGTAGAACCCTCTGTAAAGGGTTCTACATGGAACTCAAATGGGTTCTAACTGGAACCAAAAGGGGTTCTTCAAAGGGTTCTCCTATGGGGACAGCCGAAGAACCCTTTTAGGTTCTAGATAGCATGTCACGATCGTTAGAAACAGCGGACCAAGGCGCAGCGTGATAAGCGTACATTCTTTTAATGAGTACACACACAAACAAAATAATAAACGATACGTGAAGTCCTAGGGTTAAACACAAACCTTACGGATCATGCTCCCACAAAACAAAAGTGCCAACAGGCTGCCTAAGTATGGTTCCCAATCAGATACAACGAGAATCAGCTGCCTCTGATTGGGAACCACCCTGGCCAACATAGATATAAATGATCTAGAACAAAACATAGAAAACTATAACATAGAACCTACACACCCTGGCTCAACATAAAAGAGTCCCCAGAGCCAGGGCGTGACATAGCACCTTTTTTATTACAGTGTAACATAAACATTGTCATATACAGTACTCTATATCAGAGGCATCACCATTTGGACTGTACTTACAATAGCTAGGTTTGGCTCCTTTTACTAAAAGTAACACCATTGCTTAAGTTATTTTTCCTTACCTGATATGTAAACATACTATTACTATGTTAGGTTTCCTTATTTCACTGTTCATTACCCGATGTTATACCAGTACAACCATGTATCCTTCGTCAGTGCTGGAGGACCAGTTGGAGGACCAGAGAAAGGCAGGATGAGCCCCCACCCAGCCCTGGTCACCTCTACATGGGCAGCTTCTCCAAGGCCATCCCCTCAAAGTGCCCGCGGCTGCATCGCTCCAGCTCTTCCACCACCCAGCCTCAGAACCAGACCACCCAATCGTCCATCGTCTTATCCCCCATCACCACATCCCCAGTGGGTCAGCCTCTCAATGTGGCCTGCCTGCCTGTGGGCACACTGGCCCAATTCCCCACCGGCTCCCAGCTCTTCACTTACTTCACCACTGGCAACACCTCTGCAGGAAAGAGAGGCAGGGCCGGGTCTGTGGCTATCCATGCAGCCTCCAGGGTGACTGTGCTCAACAATACCACAGAGTCAGGGGTGGGGACCCCTCTACAGGTGCTTCATCTAACCCAGGAGAGGGAGCAGGAGTCTGGGGACATGGAGAGCCAGAGGCTGGGGCTAGGAGAGGAGAGGATAGTACTTGTGCAGCACGGGCTACTAGTGGACACTCCAGGGATTCAGACACACTAGGCTGGGAACAGTGGGGGCTCAATCAGAGATGGAGGAAGAGGGGGAAGAGGAGGAGCAGGGGAGGGACAGGAGAGTGAAGGTACAGAAGGAAGTGTTGCATAATGTAGAGCATGTCTTTGGCATGAAGAGGGCATTAAAAGAACAGAAAACCAAGTGAGAGAAGAGAGAACCGTAAGGAATACAGTTGAAAGAGAATAGAGTGAGCGAGCGAGAGAGTGTGTGTGTGACTGTGTGTCTGTGTGGAAGAGAGCAAGAAGGTGAACTTCACCATGTCATGTGTAACATAATTTTAACGTACAGTACTTTTTCACATGGTGTTTATTACTGCAGGACCCATAGTACTTTAATTACGCATGGTCTTCATCATCAAGGACATTCAAATGCTTAATGATAGGGGAGAGTGGGGTAAGTTGAGCCGTTTTTTACATTCAGCATCACTCCGTCAAGGGAAATATAGTATTCTTTCTAACAAAGATATCTACATATATTTCAGGATGTTGTGTATCCCTGGAAATAATCAGATTCATGTAAATATTACAGTTTTGTGGGACAGGGTGAGTTAAGCCGCCTATTACACATTTCTGTACTGAATGAAATATTACCACTACCATATTCAAACCATGTCTATTTTTATTTCCCAAACACAAATCAACACAATCACAATCACTTTTTTGTGTTTTAATCATTTAAAGCATATTTTAACACAGGCTTAATACCTAACAAACACTTGGTACTTTTTAAAAACAATTTTAACATAGGCCAGGCCCTGTTGTCACCTCTTATCCCAGCGATAATGCGAAGAAAACACTTACAAGGCAAACATTTTGACTATATTAGCCAACAAAGCTACAAGGATGCACTTTCATGCTAGGTTTAGGACCTCATATTGAAGCTTATAGAGACCCCCAACTGATGTATATAACAATCTTAAAATGATCTACTTTTGTTTAGATACAGTACGAGCTTCATGAAAACTCTAACACAATAAATTCCTTTTTTTGGACCTACCTTGCTTACCACTTTTTCCATGTGGTTTCTTCCTTCACAGACTCCATGAAATGATGACCTCGTCCTAAATATTTGGTCAAATAATTAATTTTGTGTATGGTTTCCTAGAAACAAGATTGGCTTAATTTACCCCTTTGGCTCAACTAACCCCACTCTCCCCTACAGGGTTTTATCACAACCTCCTTCAGTAGTTCTCGTCAACTCCTATAAATCACCGCTTGTATTCATAAAGCGTCTCAGAGTAGGATTGCTGCTCTTGGATCAGTTTTGCATTTGAAATCATAATGAATAAAAGGGGGGACCTGATCCTTAAACAGCACTCCTACTCTGAGACGCTTTATGAATATGAGCCCAGAACTCAATGTTCCTCTCAAGAACACCAGGAGATGGGAACCATCTGTGCTATTATCATTTGGCTGTTTGTTCCATTCTGGGTTCTGAATTATCATAGCAGAACCCAGAATGGAACTAACAGCCAAATGATAATAGCACAGATGGTTCCTGTCTCATTTAGTTCAGATTTGATTACATATTGGCTTCAAAATGACAGCACAGACTGGGCAGTACTCTAGCAAGTCCAACGTTGTCGAAAGGATTTTGTGTGCAAACATTGGAATATTCCTTTAAATATTTTTTCTTCCTCAACTTTGCACAAGTTCAAATTCAAGAAGGTTGTTGTCCATAATAAATAGAGTCACACACTATGCATAAGCTTGCAGAAATGTATTGGGTAAACCACCAACGTTTCGGCATCATATTGCCTTCTTCAGGGTTATTATTTTGTATAGCAAAATATTTTGTGTTATTATTTATCATACCGAGAGATGTATTGTTATAGTTTTCTCTTTTTTAGTAGTTCAGCACTTAAGTTACTGTTTAGATCCCTTTTGTACTGATATGAGACCATCTGCATTCTGATACTGTCTCCCAGAGGCCCAATCCTAAGACCCATTTTTTATGCTTTCATTAGTTTTCAATAATTTCAGTTCTGAATTTTGGGGCCCTATAATTAAAATAAGAGTTACAATGATGAAACCCATGCTGGAGTGATTCAAGATAATACATGATATAGTACTTTTTAAACATTATAAGTACTTGTAATTTTTTTCATGCATTGTAATAAATACCCAGTTTGTATGGTTTCTTTTGGATGGGTATACAACATCTATTGCTATTTATGCTTTATAAAGTATTCACCCTTTTCTTTATTGTTATAAACACACTTGGTAAGTTTGTTTAGTGTTTGTGACAAATATCAATTTTTTGATTATCTTATACTGTGTTTGTAAACAGTGGAAATATCTGTATAGTATATGGCACCACCTGTTTGTGTGACATTTTCAGTCAGTGCAGTTTTATTTGATAAACTCTAATATAATCCACTCAGATCTTGTAATTAAATACCCAGGAAATGGAGCCCATATTTCACTATGCACACCCCTCACCTAAAGTTTATATATAAGGATGTGGAGAAGATGAGAAGATAGAAAAAATATGGGATAAAAGTTCAATGATTTTGTGAGTCTTTTTTAAACCGGCAAACATATGTGTTAAGCACATCTTTTTTAGTTTGTCACTTTCCTCCCACATCATCTACCTAACAACAATTGCAAAAAAATATATAATGAAACTTCATAGCACCTTTAATTGTGCACTACATTGAGTAAGACTGATAATGACAATTGTACAAACTTGTTTTGTAAAAGTTTAATTAAAAACCCATTGCATATGAGATCTCTATCTGTGAATTCATTCAGTAGAAAAATGAAAGACCCATGACAACAACACACACTGTCATTGCTTTACATTTACATCGCAATACCGTGATTTACATTTGGTTTACCTCAATTACCTCGACTAACCGGTGCCCCTGCACATTGACTCGGTACCGGTACCTCCTGTATATAGCCTCGCTATTGTTATTTTTACTACTGCTCTTTAATTATTTGTTACTTTTATTTCATATTCAACAAAAAAATTTCACCATGTCATTGGATTTAGGTTAAAAGTTGGGTGAAAAATGCCGTAATTCCATTGAATGTTTTGGTTGAAATGACGTGGAAACAATGTTGATTCAACCAGTTTTTGCCAAGTGGGATGAGGCTAGACTTAGACATAGTTTCTAGGCTATGCCTAAATGGCAGGGGCCCTAAAAATTACATGCTTCCGCGCCAAAGGTTCACCATGGTCTGCCATTCAGATTGCGATGGCGTCGGTTTCCTCCTTAACAACTTTAAAGGTGAGCAGGCTTAAGCACAACTGGGAAAATATGCCTGCAGTCTTAAGAAATGTAATAATCCACCACTATGCTAGGTGTAGCTAACATTGTTCAGCCAATCAGATGGCTCCTAACAAACAGAGTCAAGCCCTGGTCCGTATATACGATGTGAAAAATGATTGGCTGAATGCCGGACGCTACTTCCTGGTGTAGCACTGGCATGGTGGTGGAAATGTTGTTTTACTGTAGGCATATTTTCCCCGTTTTTTAAAACCTGCTCCCCTTGCAAGTTAAGAAGGAAGAAACCTTTTATTTAACTAGGTCAGTTAAGAACAAATTCTTATTTACAATGACGGCCTACACCGGCCAAACCCGGACGACGCTGTGCCAATTGTGTGCGCCGCCCTATAGGACTCCCAATCACAGCCGGTTGTAATACAGCCTGGAATTAAACCGGGGGTCTGTAGTGACGCCTCAAGCACTGAGATGCAGTGCCTTAGATCGCTGCGCCACTCGGGAGCCTACACCAAGGCAGTCTGAATGGCGCATGTTTGATGTACCCGCTAGCTCAAAGCAACTATGGGTAGCTGCACCCCGGAGTAGTGGGCATGTGGGTGTGTTGAAAGGAAGGACTGGGCGTGTCAAAAGGAGTAGGTGTGTCAAAAGCACTCTGCTATAGGTTAGAGGTTTTGACTAGATGGTATGCAGCTTATGTAAAAAAAAAAAAATTACGTAGCATGTTAAGAGAATGTCACAAACGTTGAGAGATGGGTCGGACCAAGGTGCAGCGTGAAAAGCGTACATGTTTATTAATTCAAAATAAACATTCAAGAAAACAACGTAACGTGAAGTCCAAAGGGCTATACACATACCAGCCTAACAGGAAACATAAACAAGATCCCACAACTAAGGTAGGCAAACAGGCAACTTAAGTATGATCCCCAATCAGAGACAATGAGCGACAGCTGCCTCTGATTGGGAATCACACCCGGCCAAACCTAGAAATACAATTCTAGATCCTAAACATAGCATACCATACCAAGGTAGTGGGTTCGATCCCCGGGACCACCCATACACAAAAAATGTTTTATGCACGCATGACTGTAAGTCGCTTTGGATAAAAGCGTCTGCTAAATGGCATATTATTATTATTATTATAGAGTTTCACACCCTGACCAAACTACCTAGAGAATAACAGTCTCTCCAGGTCAGGGCAGTGACAGTACCCCCCCCCCCAAAGGTGCGTACTCCGGCCGCACCAACCTGACTCATAAGGGGAGGGTCTCGTGGGCATTCCGCCTCGGAGGCGGATCCGGCTCCGGGCGTGACGACCTCTCCCTCTCTGCCTCCCCGTTGCGCCCCTGGTCTGGTCTGGACCTCGGCGCGATGCTTCCCCTCTCCTTCCTCCCACGATGCACCAAGCCCTGTCTGGACCCTGGTGTGGGAGACCCCAACCCTGGAGAGGGGCTGACTTCTGGGTCTGGACTGGAGCCGCTGACCGGAGCTGAACTGGACCCCGGTGGAGCGGACTGTTCTGACCCCGGAGTGGAACCGCTGACCGGAGCTGGACCGTGCACCGGTGGAGCGCACTGCTCTGGCTCCAGAGTGGATCCTCTGACCGGAGCTGGACCGGGCACCGATGGAGCGGACTGCTCTGACCCCGGAGTGGAACTGCTGACCGGAGCTTGGACTGGACCCCGGTGGAGCGGAATGCTCTGACTCCGGAATGGAGCCGCTGACCAGAGGTGAACTAGGCACCGGTGGAGCGGACTGCTCTGGCTCCGGAGTGGAGCAGCTGACCGTTGCTGGACCAGGC